TGTGTGTGTGTGTGTGTGTGTATGTGTGTGTATGTGTGTGTGTGTGTATGTGTATGTGTGTGTGTGTGTGTGTGTGTTTGTGTGTGTGTGTACGTGTGTGTGTCTCTCATTTATTGCCATGTCTGGTTTTGTCTCCATTCTTACTACACCAGTCTTTCTGTTTATCTTTTCTTTCTCTCTGTCCCCCTTTTTTGTTTCTATTTCTTACCCCCATGACTATCATTCTATTTCTCGTCTCTCTCTTTCTCAGTCTGTATTGCTGAATTCATTCAATATCGCTGTCTGTCTGAAGGTCCTGTATCTGTTTCCCTTCTCTCTGTCTGCCTGCTTCAGTGTCCATCGTCCTCTGTGTAAAATCCCACAACAACGATTAACTCGAGAATTATTTATTGTTTGTTTTGTTGCGTCGTGTTGTCAGTTCACTTTGACCTTTGACCACTTCACTCAATGTCATAAAGATTCTCCCTGCGCCTGCACCATCCCTAACGTGGGTGAACATGGGAACTGATCTTATCCTTTGTTTATCCTGACATTTTCTCCTTTTGTTGATGATGAACCAACATTAATGATCAACTTGAACCCGTCACTCTGAGGAGGGATATTGACATCCTCCTGCATGCCATGTCATTGGTCACTTTAAGCGGCCATTTTAATGAAGAACCAGATCTCCCAAAGCTGGCCGCCCTGATCGAAGCGAGCTTGGATCCAACTCCCACGAAAACTACAGGCCTGTGTTGTCACTCAGACCCCTGCTGTGTCACCATGACAGCAGGTAGCACTGCCCGCTCCAGTGGTTTGAGAATATATTGCAGTCAGACAGCCCAGCGCCTCAGTGAGGGAGTGCCACACTGTCCATCTGTTAGATCAACGGGGTCTATCCCTGTGCCAAGTGAATGGATGAAACCTGGAGGCCAAGGTTTCAGAGAGGAGTCGGGGGAGTGATTGGTGAATAGCGATCCCTCAACAAGTAGCACGGGAAAGGGAACTCTATACCGTTAGCTCTGCTTGTGGGATCTTGCTGTGTACAAATTGGTCACCACAATTCCCACATTACGTCAACACTTCAAAACTAAAACAACGTCATTGACTGGAAACGACTTGGGGATTGGGAGGGTGGGAGGGGCACTGACTGGTTCGATAGCATGGAAGCCCCTAATTGCACCTCCCCCCGTCACACTTCTTATCCTTCTCTGACAGCGCCTCCTCACACTCACACCCCCACCCACAGCCCCCACCCCAATCACACAGCTATATCCCCACACTCTCATTCCCCCCTCCCCCAAACCCCACCCTCACTCCCCCCTACTCTCATGCCACACCCGCATACCAACCCCCACCATCTTGCTCTGACCCAGGGCTTGCAACAATGTTCAGTTCTCGGTATGGGATGAGGGTGGGGAAAGGCTTGAAGGAGCAATGCTCTACAGGGGGCTAGCATAGGCATCAATGGGCTGAATGTCTTCATTTCCCTCCATAAAAGGTGCTATAGAAATGGGAGAACTCCCTCTCTGTTTATGAAATGTTCAGAAACGAGATTATGAGTGCTCTGTCAGTTTATTGGCCAGGGTTCATGGTGGAACCCCATGATAACTGATCCGATCCCCAATGGCGGTTTGTGTTTGTGACTGAATCCCCTCTCACCCCCTGGTTTGGTTTGTGTTTCAGTCCCGAGTCCCTGTGAGCTCAGCTGTTTGGCCAAAGGGCAAAGGTTTTACTATAATTTCGGGCGGGTGCTGGACGGAACAAAGTGTGAGGCTGGTTCCAACGGGGTCTGCATCAACGGACAGTGCCTGGTAAGTGGTGATCGGTGGCGAGAGGGTGCAGGGTGAGCTGGGTGAAGGGGAGGTCACCCCTGGATGGTGCTGGAGACTGACATTATCCGGTGACTAACTCCAGCTGGGGCCTCAGTGTGAACCATGGGCACTCCTCACATTGACATGCCAACTGGGGCCTTAGGGTGTAACGCTACCATCCCTACAAGGCAGGATGTGGTGGTCCTGACTCCTGCTCCAAGAACCGAGTGCTAAATCCAGGCTGATGTTCCGAGGGAGTGCCACAGAGTTTTTTATTCTTTATTTGTTAACGGGATGTGGGCATTGCTGGCTAGGCAGCATTTATTGCCCATCCCTAATTGCCCAGAGGGCAGCTGAGAGTCAACCACATTGCTGTGGGTCTGGAGTCACATGTAGGCCAGACCAAGTAAGGATGGCAGTTTCCCTCCCTAAAGGACGTTAGTGAACCAGATGGGTTTTTCTGATAATCGACAATGGATTTAAGGTCATCATTAGACTCTTAATTCCAGATATTTTTATTGAATTCAAATTCCACCATCTGCCCGTGGCAGGATTCAAACCCAGGTCCCCAGAATGTTACCTGAGTCTCTGGACTAACAGTCCAGCAATTGCCTAGTGGTACTATCATCAGAGGAGCTGTCTTTCAGATGAGATTGGGCACAGAAGGAGTTGCAGTTATTGTCTCAGGTAGATGTTAAAGATTCCACGTCACCCTTTTGAATCAGAGCAGTGTTCCGGTTTGTTCTTATAACTTAATCAACATTACAGAAACAGATGATCCAGTCATTACCTCATCGCTGTTAGTGGGAGCTTGCTGTGCACAAATTAGCTGCCTAATTTCCTCTGTTCCAACAGCGACCTCACATCAAAGATGTAAAGTGCCTTTGGGACACTGTGAAAAGGGCGAGTTCTTTTTAAAAGTTATATTTTGGGCCCTGTTCCACGTCTTTAATCTCTGTGCTATTTTTAACAAACGGACAAGGTGCTCCAGAAAAAATATAAACCGCAGAAAAACAATTTGTACAAAAGGGCAGGGCTCGAGGTGATGGGGCAGCTCAGAGGCCACAGGATGCCCATGAGAAAGCTGCTGGTGAGGCCAGGCCAGGCCTACTCCATCAGCCCGACATGGCCCACATCAGAACGCAGGACCATAGCAATTGCAGGCCCCTATCTCCGAGGGAGAACGGGATTGTGTTTGGCCCAGCAGTGAGCTTCCAGTTTATTCCTTCATACAATATGAAGCCGGTGTTTATTTTCCATCCCTAATTGCTCCTGAGAGGGGTTTGTAGTTAAAGAACCATGTTTAAGCCAGACCAGGCGAAGATAGCAGATATCCTTCTCAAAAAGTCATTCGTTGTTCTACGACAATTTCCTGGTGGTTTCATTAACACTTATTCCATTGTATATACACTCACTTCACCTGCTGCCATGGTGGGATTCAAACCCTTGGGGCCCACTGGATTAGCTCCCTGAATGTCAAGTCCAGTGATGTTACCACTGTGCCACCATCTCCCTGTCTGGGCCCTTCTCAAATAAAAGGGGAAACAGCAGTTTTAACTCAGAGTAAAATTGGCCTTTACAGTAACCCACATTCCTATCTCTCTACCATTGGTGACTGGGTGGTCAGCTGCCTGGGTCCTAAGGTTTGGAATTCTGTCCTTATACCCCTCTGAGCCCCCCGTGAAATGCCCCCTCAAAACCGTTTTTCTTGGCCTAAACTGTTGGTCACCTGTCCACCTGTTATGTACATATATTTTTTATTCATTCACGGGATGTGGGCATCACTGACTAGGCAGCATTTATTGCCCATCCAGCAGTGAAGAGTCAACCACATTACTGTGGGTCTGGAGTCACATGTAGGCCAGACCAGGTAAGGATGGCAGCTTCCTTCCCTCAAGGACATTAGTGAACCAGATGGGTTTTTCCTGACAATCAACAATTGACAAGATTCTTTAATTCCAGATGTTTATTGAATACAAATTCCACCATCTGCTGTGGCAGGACTTGAACCTAGGTCCACAGGATATTACCTGGATCTTTGGATCAACAGTCCAGCGATAATACCCCTAGGCCATTGCCTCCCCTATTCAAGATCAAGTTTTGTTGGATGAGACTCCTGTGAAGTGCTTTGGGATGTTTAAGTAGGCTATATAAATGCGGCTCCACGTGTTGAGCATTGTATCAAACAGGGAGGTCCCCAAGGTGTCAGTTCTATTTTCCTGTGAATCAATTCTCCAAGCCCCCATCACTGAGTGAACTGTCTGCTGGATTCTGTGATGCCCCTCACTACTCCCCCTTCACTTTTGCTACTTCACATAACCCATCCACATCCCCTTCCTCCTGCTCCCCACTTCCCCCGCAGCAAGAGACAGCTCCCTCAGAAGAGACGGAGAAGAAACTGGGTGGAGAAAAAGACAGGAAAGGGAGAGGTGATGCTGCCTGGCCTGCTGTATTCCTCCAGCTCCACACTGTGTACTCTCTGTACCATAGTGTGATTGGAAAACATTTACACCGGGTCTGATCTGACCAGTGCTCTGTGCAAATATCACCTCAACTCCATTCTGTTGGCATCCCAGCTCTTTGCAGGTAAAAGCCATCATTCCATAAGACTTTTGAATTACTGTTTCAATTTGTAGACATTATGACACATTTCATGGGAGGTTTCAAAAGAGAGCTGTTTATAGATTTGAAAGGGATAAAATCAGAGGGCTACAGGGATAGGGCTGGAGAGTGGGACTAGCTGAGGACCCGGTACAGACAACAATGGGTTGAATGGCCTCCTTCTGTACCGTAACATTCGATCTCTGGAGCAGAAGTGACTTGAATCCGAGCCTCCAGGTTCACAGATGGGGACACTGCCACTGTGTCACAAGAGGTCCTATTTGGATTCACTGGGTTTAATGGCCTTTAGTGCTGTAAGAACATGTCCAGTAGACATCCTGAAGCAAGATTTTGACAATAAAGGATGGTTCCATTTGGTTAGTCCCGTGCCCGCTGCGCGCCCCACCCCCACCACGCCCCAACCACCTCCCTCCTGTTTAGGGAATGTTCTCTGCTCTATTTGTGGACACATCTTTACTCTGACCCAGTACAGGGCCGGGACACTGGCTGGTTCCCTTGGGATGTGGGTCCTGGGGGACTGGATCCATCTGGTGGAGGTGTCAGGGATGTCCTGCTGACCTCTTCACTTTCCCTCTTTCTGGTCCAGTGATGTCTGAACTCCAGAGTGTCTCTGCTGCTCTGTGTAATGACCTTCTCTCGTTCAGGCAGTGGGCTGTGGTGCTATCCTGGGATCAGAGCTGAAGGAGGATGTGTGTGGAGTGTGTGGTGGCAGGAACAACACATGTCAGCGATTTCAGAGCGTTTTCATCACTCCCCATCTCCCCCCTGGTGAGTGTCGGACATTCCCCTAAAGGACTCAGGGGCAGTTCCTTAACCCAGTTGTGTGTGCATGAGTGTGTGTGCGTTTGTGTGTGTGTGTGTGTGTGTGTGCGTGTGGTGTGTGTGTGGGTGTTTGGTGGGTTGTGGGTGTGGGTTTTTGTGGGTGGGGGGTGTGTGGGTGTGGGTGTGTTAAAACTGC